CATTTGTCTCTCAGGCTGGGTGCTTGTGGTCGGGTTCCCGGCTGGCTGGTCTCCCACTTCCTTTCATTCTCGGTGCTTGTGGTCGGGTTGTTGGCCGGCTTGTCTCCCACTTCCTTGAATGTGTCTCCCACTTCTTTTCAATTGACTCTCAGGCTGGGTGCTTGTGGTCCGGTTCCCGGCTGGCTTGTCGCCCACTTCCTTGCTTTTGTCTCCCATTTCCTTTTATTTGTCTCCCGCTTCTTTTCATTTGTCTCCCAGGCTGGGTGCTTGTAGTCGGGTTTCCGGGCGGCTTGTCTCCCAAATCCTTGCATTTGTCTCCCACTTTTTCCCCAAACAGTTTACTGTTGGGGTTTCTCAATTCTTTCTTAAGACGTGTCCGCCCTTTGTGTCACTGCTGGTGTCGGCCCATTTCCACTGGCCATGTAACATTTCTATTCATCCGTCTCCCAGATGCGTCACTGCTGGTGTCCGCCCTTTTCCGCTGGCCATGCAGCATTTCTATTCATGTGTCTCCCAGGTCTGTCACTGGTGGTGTCCGCCCTTTTCCGCTGGTCGTGTAGCATTTCTTTTCATTTGTCTCCCAGGTCTGTCACTTTTGGCGATGCAACATTTCTATTCATTTGTCCCCCAGGTCTGTCACTTGCGGTGTCCGCCCTTTTCCGCTGAGGATGCAACATTTCTATTCATTTGTTTCCCAGGTCTGTCACTGCTAATGTCGCATTTCTGTTCATTTGTCTCCCAGGCCTGTCACTGGTGGTGTCCGCCCTTTTCTGCTGGCCATGTAGCATTTCTATTCATTTGTCTGCCACATCTGTCACTGCTGGTGTCCGCCCTTTTCCGCTGGCCATGTAGCATTTCTATTCATTTGTCTCCCAGGTCTGTCACTGCTGGTGTCCGCCCCTTTCTGCTGGCCATGTAGCATCCCTATTCGTTTGTCTCCCAGCCTGCACTGCTGGTGTCCGCCCTTTTCCGTTGGTCATGTAGCATTTCTGTTCTTCTCCCAGGTCTGTCACTGGTGGTGTCCGCCCTTGGACGCTGGCTATGGAGCATTTCTCTATTCATTTGTCTCCCAGGTCTGTCACTGGCGTTGTCCGCCCTTTTCCGTTGGTCATGCAGCATTTCTATTCATCTCCCAGGTCTGTCACTGCTGATGTCCGCCCTTGTCCGTTGGGCACGCAGCATTTCTATTCAGTGGTGTCCGCCCTTTGCCGCTGGCCATGTAGCATTTCTATTCTTTTGTCTCCCAGGAGGTCTGTCACTGGTGTGTCCTTGTCTGTTGGCCATGAAGCATTTCCATTCATTTGTCTCCCAGGTCCGTCACTGCTGGTGCCATGTAGCATTTCATTTCTATTCATTTGTCTTTCAGGTCTGTCACTGGTGGTGTCCGCCCTTGTCCGTTGGCCATGAAGCATTTCTATTCATTTGTTTCCCAGGTCCGTTGCTGCTGCTGTTCGCCCTTTTCCGTTGGCCATGTAGCATTTCTATTCATTTGTCTCCGCTGGTGTCCGCCCTTTTCGTCGGCCATGCAGCATTTCTATTCATTAGTCTCCCAGGTCTGTCGCTGTTGGTGTCCGCCCTTTTCCACTGGCGATGCAACATGTCTATTCATTTGTTTTCCAGGTCTGTCACTGCTGGTGTCCGCCCTTTTCCGCTGGGCATGCAGCATTTCTATTCATTTGTTTCCCGGGTCTGTCACTGGTGCTGCCGCCCTTTTCCGCTGGTCATGTAGCATTTCTACTCATTTGTCTCCCATGTGATTTCTTTCTTTTTGTCTTTCAGGTTTGGTGCCTGCGCTGCTGTTTTCTGCACTGTCCGCTGGAACAGGTTCGCCTGTGAAAGGTTCTTGCTCCTTTGCAAGGGGTGCGTGACTGTCTCCGGGATTGCATTCCTGCCACACTGTGTAACTCTCTCAGCTTTGTTCTCCTTTTCGGGCAACCGTTGGATGAATGACCGGATTGGATTTCGGCGGCGTGGCAGCGATCTCTCTGTTCAATTGGGGCGGAGGGCATACGTCAGGCACCAAAAATCAATTTCATGTCACATCCTTCGCTCCTCATGCTTTTATTTCTTGTCCTCACGTGGTCAGCTCACCGCTGACTGAGCAGCATGACCAGCATCATGTTCGCACTTGAAGAATAATTCCCCAAAAGGTTTACTGTTAGGGCTTCTCAATTCTTTCTTAAGATGTGTCCGCCCGCTCTGTACTGCTGTGTCCCTCTCTGCCTTGCAATCCTTTACATTTGTCTCCCAGCTCTGGACGTCGCAAGCTCTAGTTTCGACTTTGAAAAACACAAACTGTTTGGGGTCTACAGTGGTGTAATTCTAAATAAACAATTGTAAGTTACAACAAACAGGCCCCCCCGGGTTTGACTGCCTAAGGAGTGGTGATTCTAAAACACCGTTGCTGGCAAAACCACTGCTTCACACAGAGGGTCAACATGTTGATCTTCCCCTCCCCCACAAATGACATGGGCTGACTCTGGCTTATTTGGGGGGATGTGGGGTGCAGACTGGGAGACATTGAACATTGGTATTCCCCTGTAGTTTGGGCATATGCATATGCTCACGCCATTTCTGCGCAATTCTGCACATGTTTTTTTCGACACCTCGCAAATTGTGATGTTCATGTTCTTGAATCATGTACCTTACAGTTTTTTTTTGGGGTGGCTTTCCTGTGTGTAAGCTACCTGGTAAATGTAACAATTACATGTGTTCTGCTCCAAAAAGGGTCAAATTTGATATTTTCCACGTACCAACCTATGGAAAATGCCCCCTCCTCATGGGGGTGGAAAGGTCTGAAGTTTGTATTGGTTATTGCCGCTACTTTGCCCCTTGGATATTGTTTGGGTAGCCCTGCAGACCTTAGCCATGGGAGGGGGGACTGGCCCTGCCAAAATAATTGCACTACGATCAACATGCATGGGTATGTCACCATTGGTGTGCTATTTTTGCAAGAGTACGCCAACCGTTGCGAGCGGGGCAGTTATTTCAAACATAGTTTTTCACGTTGAGAAATTGATGGCGATGGCGGTAAATGAAACAATTGTGTCATGATAGACCAATCGTGTGTAAACACTTGCGTTTGGAAACGGCAAAATGTTCTTCATTGTTTGTGTTTCTACCTGCTTGCTGTATTTTGGGTTTCGTGCACGAACTTGGTATAGAGCAGGAACTGAAGACGAGAACTGGATAGCACTTGTTACTGGATAGATGGATGCCCTTCAGGTGGCTCTTTGGCAAAGTGTGTAGTTGAATCGTTGAACCTGGGAATCCTTTCAAGCAATCTATATAAAGAGCATGGTGCCTTACTTTGTTTGGAGTTCTTGAATGAGCACGACCACCCAAGCCACGAAGTCCTTCGGGCATCGACTCCTCCAAAGAAGCTGGTGAACCAGTGAGATTTATGGGTCCTGGCTAGGATTGAAACTGAATTGAAAACCCACCCGTACAGGTTCGGAAGATCTGCCAAGAAAGCGAAGGGGCTATTGGCTCAGTGCGTTTTGTGTTTCCACTGTTCTTGCCATGAGACGCGCCAGGCTATGTGCATTTTTACGCCGAACATTTCTACGATTCCCTTGATGGCTGGAAGTTTCCAACCATTTGTTTCAACTTGGCATGCGAACAGCCATTTCATGTTGCGCACCGTGCATTGGCCTCTCTGCAGGCTGTCAAATCAGACGGCGGCTTTGGATATGTCAGGGCTTCGGCCAACTTTTGAAACAGGTGTGTGTATTGCATCTCACTTTTTGTGCCACCTCCACCCTCTGAGGACTCGACAGATTTGGCAGCTATTTATCATCGGTTGTTTGTTACGCGGGCCGACTGGTGGCTGCCTGAGATCAAAGTAATTAGCAATGTGGACAATTAGACAAGTGGCCAATTGGCATTGTTCACTAAATTTCTGTGCAGCGCAGGGTCATTTACGTTACTGACCTGGGGCAGGAACTGCACAACTGCAATCTGCTTACAGTGAGACGCAGTGTGACTGTTTGCGCTTGGCCTTTTGGTTCATTCAATGCCTGCAGGAGCAGCATTTCCACATGATTTTCGATGCTGCTAAACAGGCTTTTGGAGATGATATATAGTTTGGTAGACAAGTATGGGGACACTTGGTGCATACACGACTGTATGTACGTCACTGAGGGTTTGCCAATTCTCGCACAGATTCGGTTTAATGGCGCATGGTCATGTGAATAGGCTGGGTGGCATAGGCCACCACTTACACGGTGCGACCACATGGGCGCCTTGCTTCAAAGATTCAATCATTCTGATTCAATGAATCATTTTGAATCCGTTTGCGTCCATTCGCATCTCAGCGAGGCTTTGGAGTTGTGCAAGGAGAGGACAAGAAAAAGTTCAAGACGAGGTGGGCACAGTCTATCATCTCCGTACATCCTAATATCCGTTCTTTTTGTGGGGCGTTGCGCGTGCCCACGACTAGCAGCCTAGCAGTGTGCAGTGCTTTGACTCTTGTCGCGCCCAAACGACAGTGACTCTGAACTACTGGCAACTTGCAGCAAAAGAAAGATGCTAAGGCAAGCACTGAGCCTCTCAACCTTGTCCATGTCCTTGCCTGAAAGAAATCACCCGCGTAGCTTAGATGAGATCGTACTGCTCACTTTGTTCACAACCTGCTCTTTGGTCAAGGCAAGAAATACGGTATGCAGATCTTGTTTGCTTGCCCTTTTTCATTCCACTTTGCAGTGATTGTCCTGCTCATTGCCTGTTTGCGCCAAATGTTTTCAGTAAGGGCCTCCAGCCAGCACATTCCGCCAAAGAATGGATCCCCAATGACGCTTGAAAAAATTACACCGGCATAGGCCCCAGATAGCAACTAAGTATATAATTCAAAACCAGCATGAGAGCTTCCAGTTACGTACCGTGGCCGGCCGACCAAAACGCTAATCAGACAGGCAAACAAGTGGGGAGACTCACGTTGCGAAGCAGAATAATTGAAGATGCTGTTCCAGCATGTGTTGATCCGATGAAACAATGTGGTGCAGCGTGTACAAATATGTGTATACAAAGCAAGCGCGAAAACAATACAACAAGATGTTTTTTGCACAAAATCTATACGTACAATAATGTGTGCACAAACAGCATGGTTCCCAGCCTTCACAAGCATCACGCGCAAGCCCTCCAACACAGCTGTTTGATGTAACGAAATGTAATGTCAGGTAAGGTAAGGTAAGGTATGTATGTATGTGTATATGCGTATATCTATATATATATATATGTGTGTGTGTGTATATTTATATGCTACCCCCGCAACCAATACCCACTTTTTGCGTTGAGAATGGCAGATGCTCCCTTTGGCAAAATGTTAAAATAGTCAAAGGAAGTTTAGTGTGCAAAACTTCCGTGTTACGGACATTCAACAGCTGTTCAACCACCACTCATCATACACCACTCATCATACACCACTCATCATACACCA